CAGAAAACACAGCCCATTTATTGTTGTATGGCTCAGACCACACAGAAAACACGTGTCACGTGTCAGACTGAGAGTTCGTTGGTCCGTTAGCAGCAGTGGGCGTGGCGCGGACGACATAGGAAACACGGCCTCATCTATTGTTCCGTGTTGGACCGTGTTTAGAGAGCTGTTTCCTGGCAACGCGTTCATCAAATCCGTGACAATATTAATAACAGTATTGAGGAAGTAAAGTGTAAAGGTATGGACTGGATTCATGCGATTCAGGAAGGGAACAGTGGCAGACATGGTAATCAGCCTTCGAGTTCCACAGTACATGCTGAATTTCGTTATTAACTGAGCCACTATTAGCTTCTCAAGAAGGATTCAGCTCCATGGAGTACGATAGTTACAAGACAAAATTTCGGATTAGTGTAAGTTACACAAAAAGTTGTCGTTTGTGGTATCGGCGTGACCATTTTGAAGCTGCGACATGGCATAGGGAAAACTTGTACATTTCTAGTGCGAGAGGTTACCGGTTCGAGCACGGCCGAGTACCGAATATCTTGACTAAGATTTTTAACGGCCATCCAAAATTTCTCCCTTCAAGTTAAGGAGTGTGAGGTGGGCAAGGCGTGTAGCATGCATGGGAGAGGAGAGGAATGCATGCAGGGTTTTGGTTGGATAACCAGAAAGAAGGAGGCCACTAGGAAGATGTGTTTACAACTAATCTTAAAAAAACATATAGACATATAGAATATAGACAGTGTCGGGTTCTTGTTAACACGAATGTCAAAGTCAAAGTCACATTGCGACTTACGGTCAGTCAGTCAGTCAGTCTTGGTGTCGAGCCCAATCTGGGACTTATGACCAGATATTTATTACTGTTTGACACTTTCGGTCTTGTTTTTGTGGGGCGCCCTATCTGACGAGAGGACGGGTCTGTCTTCTATCAGAAACATTGTCTGCAGTATAAGTCATTTGTCATAATGTAAAGGATATTTACATTTTACATGTTAAACATTTTAATAAACGTATATAAAATATATAATTCGTCTGGAGGTACTCAAAGAGTTAGAACAATTTCTATAAAGGAGAGACGGTAACCTCGCTGAGGATCGAAGTGGGTACCACCGGAATATAAATCTATAGAGTTACCGCTTTGTCATTTTTCTCGGTTCAGTTTAACAATACAATTTTGTCAGCACATAAAACCAGACATTCATTTGTATTCTAGACTCTCAGTATAGCTGTATCTTATTCGGATGACTACTGATCGAATTCCTAACTTCAGTGTTGCAGTTCACATTTCCCATGGATATCCAATGATGTGACTGTGTTGTAACTGCAACTGAACACCTCTGTTTCATTACAATGTCTAATTTCGTTCCATCGCGGGGATGGACAAAAGAAAAAGGCCTACTGACGAAATCCGAAACATTGCAACGAAATGATTGCCAATAAACTGCATATCCGAAGAGAAATTCGCAAGAATTTGACCAGCTAAAAAAATATTTCTCTCTATGGCTCTACAGCCCTTTGAACCTTGGCCGCTTTTTCAGTTCCTTAATCCTATACACAGTCAGTAGGACTCCTTTAACGGGGGATCAGCCTGTCGCAAGGCCGCTACATAAACACAGAACAATACAAACAGAATAAATGCATAGAGACGTCCATGGCTCAAGTGTGATTTGAACCCACGGTCCTTCTCTTCGAGCGGGCGAAGACGGTTCATGCCTTCGACCGCGCGGCCACTGTGACCGGCACTAAAATATTGTAGTCCGATATAATTCCTATTTAAATGAAATTCAGTTCAGATTTTATCAATTTTCTCAAAAAAATAGATGATAGCATAAATATATATATAAAACCTACTACGAAACATTTCTCGATGCTGTCAATATTAGAGAAATATAATGAAAATAATTACTACTTCTATGCAATGCAATACGTATCTATTGGTCACTGTCTATGAAACAGTAAACATAAATTTGCAATAAATGTTAATCTATTATAAGATACAGAAAACTGTAAAGGGAAAACTGATGAATTACGTACTCAGCCGTGCGGGGGAAAATGAGGTTATTCGCGGAATATGACACACCTTCTCGCCCTGAAGTTAATTTACTCAAAAACTGGGAAATGTAACAGCTTTTTTTTTCCCCCCCATTGGCACTACAGCCACAGTGGGCCTAGGCCTACCTCCATGAACTTCTCCGTTCACTTTCGGTTTTTCTAGATCTTACACATTCGGTAGGACTCCTTGGGCGGGTGATCAGCTCGTCGCAAGGCCTCTACCTGTACACAAACACAGGAAAACGCACACACACAAACTAAACATCCATGCCCTGAGTGGGATTCGAACCCACGATCCCGGTTTCCAAGCGAGCCTTAGACCGCTCGGCTACCGTGACCGGCTGTAACTGCTTATCCCTGGTTTAATTTTAGCTCGAGCAGTGATAGCTAATGCACTGTATAACAGAACTGATCCTTTGGAGTTCAATTCCTGATAGAGCCAATGGAAGTTTTCCCATCACCTCTTCTTACTGAATGATTACTGTAGTCTCTATATTGTCATAAATACGTACAGGAACAAATCAACATTTCCAGTTCAAGCCTAGAATTGTTCCGAAGTCTCTGTCCACTGAGTACTGCAGTCTCTTCCCCATGTGTAAGACCGTAACCAGGTTACTGATTATCCCTGCAGTGCGTGGCCGCGCCATAGCTCAAGCGGTTAGTAGCTGGCTTCCCACCGCGGCTGCCCGGGTTCGATCCCGGGTCGGGTCAAGTGGGATTTGTGGTGGACAAAGTGGCTCTGGGGCAGGTTTTCTCCGAGTACTTAAGTTTCCCCTGCCAATCTTCATTCCACCAATTGCTCCACAATCACCCTCACCTATCATCTGGGGCTGGTACAATAAGCCAGAAGTGACTGCAGTACAAGGGACTTAGTCCCACCCAACTAGCAATAAAAGAAATCCCTGCAGTGCAGCGATTTTCAGTAGGTGTGTGCCGCGGGAGTCTTGGGGGACGGTCGAAAAGAAACGAGAAAAAATTGAGGAATAAAATATCGTCCAGGTAAATTTTAGAATTACTGTACATTTTCCATGAAAGACCGATAAGAATAAAAACAGTAACAGTTTAATGAAAAAAAGTTATTATAGTAAAATTCCAAGAACTTCCATCCTTAATTCTCCCGATCCAAAAATATCTCTCCAACGAACTTCTCCCACCCCATCTTTCGCACTTCCCAAACAAGCGTCAGTTTTCAGTCAGCTGTTGTTTGGATCGGATATGTTATTCCGTGTGAGTTTGCGCTAATGCATTTTCGTTTGTTATTTCTATTTCGTTGTAGTTATTTTGTTATTTGTGAATTTAGTTGATTTTTATTTTTATTTTTAGGGCTTAATGGACGTGGACAGATTCATAATTGAAAAACGTAATGTAGATGATGACAACGAATCAAGTGTCCTTCAGTGTGTTGTTTGTTCATTGAGAGAAAGACCGTCTCTGTGGTCTAGTGGTCAGAGTTCCTGGCTACATATTTAGAGGTCCCGGGTTTGATTCCCGGAGCTACCAGGTTTTCTGATAAGTAGTGGGTCCGAAACGGGGTCCACTCAGCCTCGTGAGGATAATTGAAGAGCTACCTGAGAATGTAAAAGTAGCGGCTCCGGTTTTGAAAACCGAGATTAACTGCCATGGGGATCCGTTGCGCTGACCACGCTACACCCCCTATCCGCAAATTTGACACTAATTTCGCTGACAAGCGGCGGTCGCTCGGTCGGCATATTTCGCTTGCGGACTAAAAGCCAAGGAGTTTGTTTCATTGACAAGAGGGGATGTGTGATAGTGAGAGAGAGAAGGGGAGGGGACATTTTTTTTGAGACCAATGAAATACATCAATGCTTTTTTTTATAAATGACTTCTTTTCCAATGATATCTCATTTCAATATTCGGAATAATAACAAATCTGAACATAAATTTTAAAAATAAATTTTTCGAAATCCATGGTCAACATCAATTTAAAAAAATAGCACAATGATTACAATTTTACCTACTGAACTTTTAAACACAGTTTTAATACTAATTTTTAATGATAAAATCTCTCCTTAAAAACCGATGGTGTGCCTTGAAATTTTAGCTCCTTGTTCAGTGTGTCGTGAGTTGAAGAAGGCTGAATATCTCTGCTCTAGTGCAATGATTTCATACGGTACACGAACCGCTTGCCTGAGAAACCAGAATACGAAAACCCCGGTGAAAATAAGATCTTTTATTGTGACCCTTTTGTTCCTTACAAGCTCTCACTTTAGTGGTCCATCGCTAGGTAGTTAACCAGTGTTTCATAAATAATTCCGATTCTGAAAAGAAAAGAAACATCATTAACCGCATCTATCATCTGTCACGTGCGAAATGCAGTAAAGTGGAGTTTTATGAGAAACACACAGAGCAACAAACTAATTTTTCGCCATGTTTGCGAGTTTGTCTAAAAATAATACGGGAATATAGATGCATGAAGCATTTCGAATATTCCAAAGGGGTTCATGAACCACAGTTCGCAAACCTCTATTTTAGGTCAGGGCCGATGATGGCATGGGTCCTTACTTTCACGCTCGCTCCACGCTTTCCTATCCAAACACCACTTCATTACCGCAGAATTTTGGCAAACCATAATGTTCAGTACGTGGGAATCTCTACAGACCAACACGATATTCAATAATAACGTTCTGTCTGTTTCATTGCAAACATACAAATATCTATCACTGACTTTGGAAGGCTAGCAGCGGACACCGGAACTCGTTATCGACTGTGGTTGAATGCGAGACTAGCTGGCTCTGGCTGGCAGGGTCCCACCGAACCAACCAGCGTGAAGTTCTAGGGAGAGCAACAGGCTACTTGCTTGCAAGGACAGAGATAGACTGTTTCATTGATGTTACCGTCGTCGTCACTGAACGCCCGCACTCCCCTCCACGGGTCCTTCTAACCTGCAAGCAGGCGCAAAGTCAGTTGAAACGAGTAGCAGCTAGCGATAGGAGACAGTTGGAATTGGAGTACCTTCCACGGAGCATACTGGTCTGCCGCCTAAAAGCATGAATGCACGTCGTTAGTTAACGATATATCGTTTTACTATTGTGGTTATGTGACGTGTGACTATTATACATTTTTTTTTGTTATCTTGTAAGGCTTGATAACTAAAATTAAATTAGATGACTATGTAAACAATTTATTTAGTGAACTAATGGACTATATTTCCTGTACTGACGCGTGGAAGTCGATGTCTTTCAAACGTAAACATATTGCAAGGTATGTACGAGGTGCACTCTCATTCCTTTACAAATGTAAGCAGTGTAATTAGACTGCCGGACAACTCTGTAAAGTCGTTATTAATTTAACATTTTAAACGTTCCTGATATGACTTGTTTAATGCATTTAAATTCAAACTCCACTCGTGTATCTCAGTAATGTACAGCGAATGTCGGTTACAACTGACTTTGTAATTTTACTAGAAATCGAAACGGTGGATTAAATGATTTTTTAATAATACAGGCGATTTGAAAAAGACTGCCTATAAGGGACGAATCATATTTTCTTCGCAAGCTTTTATGCAGAAAAAATCAAACCGTTTTCAGAATATTTGTTTCTGATTTTCTCATCCTTAAAATGAGTGGCGTGAGGGTAATGCAGCACGATGTACATTTAACTTTATTTTCGTCTTTGTAATTATAGGCTTATCACATGCCATGTAGGCTATATATGTGTGTGTGTATTACCAAGTGCTTCCATTTAATAACACTTATAATTTCGAACCGATATTACTGTGTAGGTAGTATGAAGTCAGTATTTTATATGTCCCATTTCAATTTCCGGCTGTGCGAAGTTCTATGTGAGATATTAATCATTTTCATTCGTTGTACTATGTAGATATTTTTATAATGATAAGTCTTTTTTAAAAATCTGTACATTTTGGGGTAATTTTTTTGAAAGGGGATGACAACATGGCGACTAGACGACGTAAAAAACTCGTAAGTATTAGTTCCAGAATGAGACTGCAGTAACAGTATTAGCAATCTGACAAAACGCATAATGAATTTTTACATGTTAACAGAGAACGCCTAAAATTGTGGGGTATCCACCAAATTTTTTAACTACAATTATGAATGAATTATTAGAAGCATGGAGAGGAATAAAACCAAACGTCAACAAAATTAATAAAGGGTCCTTCTTCACACTATGGTATATTATTTGCGAGATACCGATTAACAGGAAAATGAGTGTGGTTTGCAATTCAATATGACCAAATTAAATGAGATTTTAAGAAGATAGAGCCTGAAAATGTATGCAGTAAGAACAGAGGTACTGGCAATAGGAAGATGAGAACAGAGCCAAGAAAATTAATAATAAGCTAGGACATAATAAAGCGAATCTCAAAATGCAAGTATGCGGGATGCAGTTTGCCAGCTCATGGAATGAATGAAGGCATAAAGCAAAATGAACAGAAATTAAACTAACAATACCTGTAAATTAAATGGATGAATTTGGAGAAACTTGGATGAAAATATAAGGAAGCAAATGGGGAAGATATTACATAGTATAATGTGTAAGCCAGCGAGGCACAAGCAGTGAGATTACTAGAAATATAGAGTCAGCACACGTGAAACTTGTGAGGCCAGTACATGGAGTGACATTAAACGAACATCTAACTTCTTACCCTGCAATCAGCCAAGAACCGAGTCAGATATGAAGTTCGAAACTTAAAGATCCAGAATGTTCTAATGTGTTCTCTGGTCAGGAGAGATCAAACTGAGGGGAATATACTGACATAGAGTTCGAAGGAGATTAAAAAGAACTGAAGTGACTAAACTTTATCAAACTAAGTGGAAACTACATACATCAACAGTGCCTCCTTACAGAACCCCCCCCCCCAACAAGTTCTGATTTGTAATCCTGCTGGCAAACGTGATGGGGGACGCTCATGAAGAAGATGGATCAATTGTAACTGGTTATAATGGCCTTAGGAAGAGCAGGAAGAAGATAACGGATGGGTATGAATACTTGCATCATGGAAGGTTATTAACTTACCTATAAATTCAGACCAGAAAACCGAGATTAACGACCGCGGGAATCCGTTTCGCTGACCACGTGACACCCTCTATCCGCAAAATTTGGCACTAACTTCGCCGACAAGAGGCGGTCGCTCGGTCGGTATAGTTCGCTTGCGGACTAAAGGCCACGGAGTTTTCTAGTTTAAATAAATGTAGACCTGTATGTGTTTTAGTGAAATGTACGGGAATACTACAGAGATAATCCATGATATCTGTTGGCGGTGTGCAGATAGTGAAAATAAGTTTATGGAAATTTCTATGTGAAAAAGAAGCATTTGCATATTTTATTTTTTTCCCCCGCTTACAGAGAAGTGTATTGGAGGGATACAGTTAAGGAGTATGAGCTGCGTGGGGGATGTACACATATGACAGATAATGGAAATGCATGCAACATTCTGGTTTGGAAACAAATAGGATTATATTGGATGATATAGTCGTAGATGGGAGGATAATATTAAAAATAATCTTAAAGAAATAACGTGGGAGGATGTAGACTGAATTAATTTGGTTCATGATAGTGATAATTGTCGTTTTTTTATTATATGAATATAACTTTGGTTTCCATTAAAGGTGGAATTTTCTTGACCAGCTGAGTAACCATTAGCTTATCAAGAAGGCTTCACTGAACTGATTAGTCTAGAGGTAGAGCTACACATTTGCATTCGGGCTATGATCTTATGGAAATTCATCATGGACACCGGCTGTCATGATAGGTTTTTCGCGATTTTTCTCGGTCTCCAAAATAATCCCGAGATAATACACGTATCTTGATTAGGTCACGTCCACGCCCTTACAAATCCTTTCACAATTATCCAGCAATCATTGTACCATCCGGCGATATATATAGTCTCGATACTGAAAGTGTCGTTAAAAACACATGAATAGAAAAGGACTGTACTGCATGCAGTTCGTGATAGAGAACTTCAGAGAAATTTCACGTATTGCATGCCAGGCCTCTTAACATCTATTTAAGTCAGCCCTGCCATAAGGTGCTTTCACTAAGCAGCACTTAACTTTATTCAGAAAAATGAGCAGTGCTATTGTATAAATTGTAACCAATCTAAATACTCCACTGTTCACCGTTACACATGCACTATGGTTCACAGTCTTCACTAGGTATATCCTGGCAACGGATTTATAACAGTCTGTCACTTCAAATCACACATGAAGTCTTCTTTGTACCGCCCAATTCCCTTCTTACCATTATGCTGCAGCTGCTTATTCCGAAGACTCGACTCAGTTCAATTCCTCTGCTCCCATGCTCATATCCTGGCAGGATGGCGTCTCGAAGCTCGACTAACTCTTGTCAAAGTCAAACTCAAAGTCAAAGTCACATTGCGACTGACGGTCAGTCAGTCTGTCTGTCTTGGTGTCGAGCCCCGACTGGGGCTCATGACCAGATTTTTTTTTCTTTATATGAAGTTTATTGTCCTGTTCATTTGGGGCGCCCTCTCCGACGAGAAGTCGGGTCTGTCATTTGTCAGTCATAGTCTGTGTTAGTAAGTCCATACTCAAACTCCTCTTTATAACCACTTTGCACTGACCACGCAGAAAACACAGCCTCTCTATTCTTGAGAAGGCGTGTTTACAACGCCGTTGCAGAGCAGCGGAAGTTATTAGATTGTTCATTGTTGGGGCTCATGACCAGATTTTTTTTTCTTTATATGAAGTTTATTGTCCTGTTCATTTGGGGCGCCCTCTCCGACGAGAAGTCGGGTCTGTCATTTGTCAGTCATAGTCTGTGTTAGTAAGTCCATACTCAAACTCCTCTTTATAACCACTTTGCACTGACCACGCAGAAAACACAGCCTCTCTATTCTTGAGAAGGCGTGTTTACAACGCCGTTGCAGAGCAGCGGAAGTTATTGGATTGTTCATTGCGTATTCGTTGTGGCGGGAATATGTTTATCAAGTCGTTGCCTAGCAATGAACGTCTATTCTGACTTCATTATTCCGACTTTCGGGCGTCATGTGATTATATACAGCGATTTTTCACCCAAGGGAAATTTCAAGTGCCAGCGAATTAAATTCATATACAGTTTTGCAGTTTTGGTATTTGAGTTTAAATATTCGCAGTTTTTAACTGGTTTGTAAACGGAAATTATATGTGGAACAGAATTATAGATATGTCTTTTGGATTTGTACTTCCCCTTCCACATCTAAATCGGCAGTTTCTCATGGTATAATATAAAATTGAAATTAATCGTATATTATTTCACTTTTATTGTATTTGTCACCGATTTTCTTGTACTGAATATGTTTTAAATCGATAATAAAACGTGGGTCGATACGATACGGAATTCAGATACGCCCACCTTCATAAATCGGGGCGCGATTACGAATACGTTCGCACATGCTGCTGTGTTTGTTGATTGCTACTGAGAAACGTCCTGGTAAAACTTGAATGAAAACATGAAGAATCAGAAAGAGATAATGATTTCTAGGCATAATGAAGCCTACTATTATCCTTCTATTTTACTTTTATATTGCAGTTCCACAGCCAAAATTTAATAATCTATTTAGTTACAATTAGCGATAAACATATTGAGTGATTGGTTTTTAGCTTTGTTGAATGCCCTGTCCAATTGCATAAATAATATAGGCCTAGCGTCGAATGGGATGGGTAAACCATTGTGGCGTGCCGCATAAGACGTCCATTGATAGGCAACGGCTGCGATAAGAATGTACACTTCTGTGGGAACGGAATACCAGCAGGGCGTTGCCTAGGAAACGCTGAAACAACAAACGCGTTTCCCCGGAAATGAAAGGATATCCATGGAAACGAATACTACAAGCGGACAAAACGAAACCCTTGAACACGATGTTCACTATTCAGTCCGAGAGCAGTCGGAGTGCTATCCCGATATCTATCTGGGGGAACTAAGGAGAACCAGAAACACCCTCGGGATAGCCGTTGTTCCCAGCAGAATTCGTATGGCCATTCCTCGAACACAAGTCTAGAGCTTTAAAGCCACACCGACATGCTCGATAACAATTCAATTCAATTCTTATCATTTATGTGCCGAGTCAGCAGCCGTAAGGCCAATTACAGACACAGCACAGTGTAGATACAAGTAATTACATTATGGACAATCACAACATAAAGTCAAAGAAAAATTACAGGCAAACATTCGAGGAAAAACGCATTAATGCAGACAAGTAAACAAGTAATAATAATAAACGTAAAGTTGTCCCTGCGCTT